ACCCTATTATCAATTTGTAATTCCAATAACTAAAGTAACGGCCTTGAATTAGACTAGATTAATTTACAGATATTACCATAGAATCAAAGTAAATCATATTCTTCACCTACTTATTGCCCATCTTTATTTGAACTACACTACAGTTAATGTAACATTATGTTAGCTACTAGGGGGTGTGCGATGGACTTACCTCCACGTGGTGGACCTGAGCAACGTTTACTCATACGGCAAAAGAGTCTATTAACCAGCAGTTGGCTTCTAACTTCTAGCTACCATGACCCCACTGTATGTCATAGTCGTCCAATTCTACAGTACTCACCTTACCCTACTCTCTACCATTGTGCCTGTCTCTTTAAAATCTACAAATCACTCTTCGATCCCCCTCTTGACCTTTTCTCACTTTGATGTTTCTCACCTCTGTGAAGTTCAAAGTCAGTTAAGGGCTAATGATAACTATCAAAACGCCTGCCATTTGAAATAAATAAACTTTAGCTACTAGGGAATGAGGTGGTCATTGGAGAAATAAGCCGCGAATACTCGTGACAAATTCAGTAGTTAAACGTTCGCAATACCCACCTATTTCATGAGTAATATCACCAAAAATGGAATTCTATAAAGTGACCATAAAATTGACATAAAATTGATCAATTATATGCACTAAATAATTCCTATTTTAGACTCTATGATCAAATAATTTATAACAAATGGCAGGCAATTTAATAGTTTCATTAGCCCTTTAGGCGACTTCAGGCCTCACAGAAAAGAGGGGGGGGGGGGCAAAGAAGAGTGTTTTAAAGATGTAAAAGAGAGAAACAAAGGTAGATGAAAGGTGAGGTGAGTACTGTGAAGTAGTCGAATATGACATACAGTGGGGTGATGGTAGTTAGAAGCCAGAAGTCAACTGCCGATCAATACTTTTTTGCCGTATGAGTACATGTTGTCCAGGCTGCACCACGTGGAGGTAAGTCTATCGCACACCCCAAAATCAAATAATCAGATTTGGATATAACAAAGCGAAGCTTCAGCCCGGGAACTTGAATTCCAATTTGCGCCTCTTTATCCTACAATCTTTATATGCACGAAAAATCCCTTTATTTGTTGATGAATAGTTGTCAAGACAATTGGGGAAAATTGGATTGATTTTCATAAACGAGGAAGTGACATCCCCTCTACCCTCTTGATGGTTAGAAATAATTAGTGAGGCTGACTATCCCCATCACTGGGCTTGTCCCGATGGGTGCTGAGTTCGCGACACGCAATCAGCCATACTTACACTTTGGACAAAACATCATAAATAAGTTCCTTGAATTAAAAATTTTCAATACTTATATGGGTAAAATTGTTATCTGTAAGCACAACTTGAAATAGCAAATACCTCTCTTATTGGTCATTTTAAATTACTAATCTTCACTTATGTACGAAAAGCTTCCGAAAACTTCCCCATTGGAATGGCAGGGTTGGGGGGGGGGGGGGGTTAGTCAATGAAGTATTATTAGCGAGTGCGATTGATGATTCTAGACATAAAAACCTGATAATTATAAAAAAATCTAACCTAATTGGAAGATATGTCAGTACCATTGCCACACAAAACGGAATGTTGAATAAGTTACAAAGAAATAAATAACTAACCGATAGGAGAGATATGGTAGGAGACATCGGTTACCTTCCTCGGACCGCTGGAAAAGGATTAGAATTTGGGGGAAATAAAAGTCCACTTCACTTGTCCGAAAGTCGAAAAGACGCTTGGCTGCAAGACGCAAAAACAACTGTGAAAGAAATTTCAAATAAACAAAAATGGGCGGAAAAAGTGGAAGTATTTTTAGGTATGACCATACGACTGCTGTTCTCTAGTCTAATAATAATTTATTTAAAACAAGGTAAAATAAGTTGAAGAACGAATGAGAAACCTACTTCATTTACAACCTTATTAAATTGTCGATGAAGACCCATTGTTAATAAGCTTTCCGAAATAAGAAAAAGGCAAGTTAATCAAGTTAATTTAGTGAGGATGAGCCAATAACGGATTTTAATCTGATACAGCGATTTCTAAAAAAATGAACGGGAATATCGAGACCCAGAAATGATCGTTATTTAAAGTCAGTTATAAGTTAACAACAAACGCAACTAGAAACAGGCATTTCCAGAGATTGTTTCCGTTTATGAGAAAACAACAGTAAATCTAAGCAACAACAACTAACCTCTTAGTAAATTTATAAAAATCCAAAATTATGCTGTCGAACACGACAGAATCGACTTAGGAAATAGGTAATCAAGAAGAGAAAAATAATGATTTTACTTTCTTTTTACTTTTTTACAGACAAAGAACGATTTAATCTTACCTAAATATTCCCAGACTTCAGTGCCCGAAGGTTTAAAAAGGTAGAACAGAGCATAGTGGCAGTTGAAGAGGGAGGAGTCAATAAGCTTAAATAGGGAGGTATAAGAATGGACGGAAGAAACAGAAGAGGATGAATTTGATATGGTTGGTGTGGCTTGACCAGGACAGGATCGATTAACCAGCGAAGGGGAGTGTGGAAGCGAATATGTTATAGCGGTGTTATTCTGTTTATCGACGTCCTCTTCTCCACTGGATGGACTGAGCGAGTCAAGCGGATCGACCGATGTTACAGAACTCATTATGGATAATTTATAAATCTAAATATAAATAAAATGGCTTATTAATAATTATAATAAATGAATTAGTAACGTCACAAATAAAATACTCCTACATGTAAAATGAGTTAAAAGTGAAGTAAAATTGTTAGAGAAAAATTTACATGGGTTATTAGTAATTTTAGCTTACAACATATCATTTTTAGTAAGAAACTAGTGCACCATAACCAGAACAGCTCTAAGCTGACCCTAAAATGAAAATTTTATATAAGCCGCTTGTGGCAAAATTTATATGCTTCTTCTGTTTTCCCAAAAATACTAACAGAGCTTATTTATCCACTTGATGAATTTTTTTACACATTATAATATTTTTTTCATGAAGAAAACACAATACTTTATAAATATATATTAAAGTTGATCCAATTATATCTTAGTACTTAACTTTACTATCGTTTGCAAATATTCATTTCATTCAGTTGATTCTTAAAATTTATTTTAACTATTTCGCTGAATTTATAAACTCCTTTAAATTTTAATTGACAATGTGAATACTCTATTTCAGTTTAATTATATTTTACAAGAAATTATTTTGAAATGTCAATACTTTAAAAAGCCGTATTTTAAATGTCATAAATTGATATATTAAATACTTCATTGGTCTACAATCAGAGATCATGGTTGATAATTAGTGAGGAATATGTAGCAATAACTGCAAAGTATGCACACTCGGTAGCTTTTCCAGGATATAAAAATTGGACAACATTTTATTTCAAATGGCAGAATTTAAAGGTTGGCTTCCATGATTGCGAATATATTTATATCATAGGAATGTAGAATGTTCTGGTTTTGGAACTTCTTGTCCTGTGACATCCCTCCGACACTCCACTGGAGGACCTGTAGACGTTGTGATTAGCCCTGAAAATGGCGATTCCACTTATATCTTCGTTTTAGACTGATCATTATAATTTGAAGTCAACTCCCGAGTTATACACTTTTTTCACCGTATGAGTATACATTGTCCAGGGCGCACTACGTGGAGGTAAATCTATTGCACACCCCCGAGATTGGATAGCATTGATGCCCTTGTTGTTTTCTTAAATGGCTCTAATTGGCTCGATACTATTTTTCAATGTTATTTATTTATTTATTAGCAGAGGACTTCAGATAAAAAGCTCTAAATTTTAAATTTAAATATATATATTTATAACTGTTTGGAATTCTACGATGTAATAAAGTTCCGTTCATGTTCACAAACAGGCATGTAACGTCCGCGTCATCACCTTGCCAATCGTCACATTGCCGAATTAACAAATACTCGTTAGATGAATAAGTCTGATCAATCATAGCCGACTACGGATCAAAAAGAACCTTACAACCGCCTTTGTTTGCGTAAACTGTCTTCTTGCCAGTCGCAACTATGCAAGATGGTTTAAGCAGTGACAAATATTAAATGAAAAAAGAAGGCAGAGTTTAAAAATTTACAAAGATCTCCAATCATAATTAACAAAAAAGAACCAAAACTTATTAAATAGTTTGGTTTGGTGAGGAAATAATTGTCCTACCAAAATTACCATTACACTCTGTCTGGCGTAAAACATGAACGAGCATGTCCCATTTCCCAAGGTCTCAGAGACCCACTGTACGAGCTCATGCTACCTCGAATGGTCTCCTTGTTTGAAGATACTTCCGTATTTGGTAGTGTTGCATGTCACGCCAACTTCCAACTCTTCTGCAGCAACATTCATGATGTCCTGCTAAAAGAATAATAATGATTCAGGCAAAGGGGTATAATAGGGGTTTGAAATTTATTTGTACTTTTCGTCAGTTTGGGGAAAGTAACGTTGAGCGATTTGGAAGTTGAACAAATGAGCAGAATAATGGGATTTCGGGTGACGGTAATCGAAGGAGAGTAGTTTCATATTGATTTCACCATTTATACGTCGACCAATCTCATAGAGTACAACATGAATAATAGGATACATCCATGCATGATTAAATACATTTTATCTACTGAAATAATCGAAGTAAATCTTACATTTTAAACGAATTCCAAATATGTCTCCAAGCTTACTCACAAGCACATTGCAAAAATAATTTCTACAATTCTTCCGAACTAGAACCAATTCAAGAAAATAATTTATTTATTTATTTCAAATGGCAGGCGTTTTGATAGCTATCATTAGCCCTTTTATTGACTTCGGGCTTCAAAGAGGGAAGGTTCATCAAAGTAGCAGAAAGCCGAGGGGTGGGGAACAGAAGAGCGATTCACAGATATAAAAGAGGCAGACAGACACAAAGGCAGAGAAAAGGGTAAGATGAGTACTGTGAAAGCGGTCGAATATGGCATACAGTGGGGGTAGTTTGAAGTCAGAAGTCAACTGTCGGTTTATAGACTTTTTTGCCGTATGAGTATACGTTGCCCAGGGTACACCACGTGGAGGTAAGTCTATCGCACACCCCATTCAAGAAAATAAAGTGGTTAATA